GATGCCGCCGTCGATCTCACATGGGTGCCTTGCCTTTACTTGAAAAATATAGTAGCACGAGGCTTGAGTATTTCTAGAATACTTAGTAAGTGACCCCCTATCGGGGTTATGCAACAATCACATGCAATGAGATGATGGGACCTATCTTTCAATCTGTCTTCCTACGGTGCTGATTGTGATGTCTCACATTGGTTGGGGAGGAGAACAAACCACCATTTATAAGGGTGTGGAAACCTTTTCCCAGTAGACGCGTTTTAAAGCCTTGAGGGGAAGCTCGAAAGGGAAAACCCAAAGAGGACAATATATGCTAGCGGTGGATCTGGGGGGTTATAAATGGTATCAGAGCCAGACACCGGATGATGTGTCAGCCTTCTTGCTGTTCCCCGAAGGGGGATAGATCAGAGCCAGACACTAGATGATGTGCTAGCCTTCTCAAACCCAGACACCGGATGATGTGCTAGCCTTCTCGCTGTTCCCCGTAGGGGGGTAGACACGAGGCGGTGTGCCAGTAAGGACGCTGGGTCTCAAATGGGGCAGATTTGGAGGCGGTCCCACATCGATTGGAGGAAGAAAAGAGTGCCAGCGAAGACGCTGGGCCCCGAAAGGGGGTAGATTGTGATGTTCCACATTGGTTGGGGAGGAGAACAAACCACCTTTTATAATGGTGTGGAAACCTTCTCGAATAGACGCCTTTTAAAGCAAGGGGAAGCCAAAAAAGCACAATAAGTGGATCTGAGGACTTACATCAAGTCATTCTTTGCTGTGTATTTACTTTTCTCTCTATATTTAGTTTAAGTTTTTAATTACGGAATCTTCCTTCTTTTTCTTTTCTTTATCTATATTTACTCTCTTTCCTTTTTAATTACTTTGTTTCCTTTTAATTTTGTTGACTTGTATTCCAAATTTCTAGGGGATTTCTTTTCTATTATCTATATTTACTCGTTTCCTTTTTCAAGGCTAAAACATTATAATGATTTAATGAAGATCTAACTCTAATTCGCTGTCATTTCTAAAAGGAAGAAATATGATAAAAGAAGGTGAGGATTTAATATATACATTACTCTATCTTTGTGTAAATCTCCGTCTATAAGTGAATCTCAATTGGGTAAAAGTCATTCTCATTTTCTCCCCCAAAGTAAATCTAACCATGGTTTAGTTGTTTTTCGTTTTTTTTACGTGGTTTTTTAAAGGATGAGTTGGAGAGAGATAATTGGGGAAGAGATGAGAGGTTAGTGGAGATGAGTGGGAGAGAGTTGTTTCTCCTTTTTTTTGTTTATTTATTATTATTTTTAATGATTTTTTCTTTTTGGGCTATTACAATTGTGATTTGTGCATCATGTGTGCATCATGTGGTGTTGAACTTACATGAATGTTGAGAATATAAATTCTGTACTTTAGAGGATTATCCCCATGAGAAGCATGATGAGAGTACCAAGTTAAATTAGGATGCTTAAGCTAGAACAATTTTATGATGACCTAGGTTGGTACGTTTCTACTAGACCGAGCACCTAGGATCATGAGAGACAATTAGAAGGCTAGACCCTAGTGCTCCTAGAATTGGATTATCCTGCATGATGTCAAAGTCGTATTTTTTCAACCATGTACCGTCGTGATCTTGACACGTTCACGACTAACCTTAAGGGGAACTCAAGTCCCATATTCATTTTTTGCACGGTTTTGTAGTTTCATCAGACCTTATGTGAGGTTTGTCTTCACCAACCGAACATCACTAGTGTAGAATTCAAGCTTGTTCACCTGTACATGTCACCTACACATGCATATTCAATTATCTGCGAGACAACCAACTTGCCTCTACACTAGGCAAGTCATTCAACTCAACCTTGCCTTTAGTCGGGCCAAGGTATACCATGTACAATGTCGTATCCAACATTATCTTGGTTCTATATTAACATGGCTCATATGTCTTGATGTCATCCCACGTCACAGGGTGTCGTTGGCCATTGCAACTCACTCGATCATGTTATCGGGATAGGCCCATTTATCGCATAACATTAGAACATCTCGAACATCCATCCATCCAAGTTCTATCAAACCATTGACCCTCCTTTGCCCAAGCCATGTCATTTATGGACTCCGTACCCAATAGCGAGTGCATAATCCAACCTCTGACACATGGGCTGGGGTGCAATACCGGGACACCCATGTCCCTCATCTCAGAATGCTTGCCCTTACTGTGACACACGCATGTGCCACATGGTAGATCGTTTAGGCCATAGGGCCTAGAGGTAGTGGAAAGTTGACATCATGCCTCCCAATAGCATTTTGAGACATTTTCAATCATTCTCGAATATAAGTCATTTTGGTGAGCAGACATACGGCCCCATGCATAGTACGTCGAGCATACGATTGACACCAAATTTGGTGAGCATTCAACTTTCATATGATGGAATTAATTCCAAAGTCACATATCGAAATTCATATCGAAACCTCGACTTCTGAGGTTATAGGGGTCCCTATCCGGCTCTCTTCAAGCTTGTCTTCGACACTCGTGTCACCTCATTCTCTCGAATCTTGTGTACACCCCAACTTAGCTTGAATGCACACTCTTAGTATGTTGGATGATGCACCGTTCTCTCCTGTAGCATCATGAAACTTCTCCATCTTGACTCTCACATAGTCGAATGGGCGCCACTTGAAGATCGCCCCTTGTCTATCTTGCGTGTGAGAGTCATAACCTACATTTTCTAAGTGAGGTGTGACACAGCTTGCCATTTGTGTTCGCTAGAAAAGGTGTTGTCTGCCAATTTGTTTCTTGGCAAAGGTGACACGGAGTTCTAATTCTACCCCAATTAAAGGCTAACTTTTCAGTTAATAGGTCCGATATCTTCTTTTAATCTCGGAGCTTGATTAGGGGTATTCATATGAATCCATAATTCAACCAACCTGAATTATCGATAAAGGTTATCGATAAAGGTTGAGTTGGATTAGATTTCTTTTAGATTTGGATTAGGTTAAATTTTTGTAAAATAAAACATTCGGTTCAATTTGTGAGCTGACATATTTTTTATTTGTACCCGACCAACTTTAAAATGGGGTTACGACATAATCTAACCCTATCCTACTTTTAAAAATGTTAAGAATTTTCAACGTTTGTATCAAATGTTAGTAATCACCGTTAATAATTGAAATTTTAGTTATTAGTATAACATATATATTATAGATAAATATGATTTTTTAAATAATTAAGAAAAAAAAAAACTGGACAACCTAACCCCACTCAATTAGAAAATAGAGGGGGTTAAGTTGGGTTGTAAACTCTATTGGAGTTGCTTGTGTCATCAACCCAACCAACTCAAAACTTCAGGTTGGTCAAAAAGATTTTTTCATCATACTTGTATCGACTTTACGTCAGGCAGATTTTGATTTTTTTGGGGTGATAGTGGAAAAGTTGACAGATAAGTCACATTTACTGCCACTCGACAGAACCGTACATGAGATTTTCACCTCATACAGCTCCTCATTCAATTCTTTCGTTGTCATTGAGTCCTTTTCCTCGTTCGAGAATCTCCTCCCCTCCTCTATTCCGTCCCAAAGAGTGATCAGGACCAATTCAGTCTGACAAAAAATTTAAATGGCAAGAATTCAAATTATTCAATTCTTGGATATACGAACTTAAAGTTAAAATGCGTTATGTTATTCTTGGAAAGATCTCTGAGGTATTATGTCCAAGATTATCAATTTAAATTGGACACTTGATGACCTCAGATTCTCGTGCATCTCCGTGCAATATAGTCACGTTATCTATTGGTCTTAAAATGCTTCTAAAAGTAAAGACTATCCATACAAATCAACACGAAATAAATATCCATTCTTTTAAGTAATTTTTTACTATCATATGTTTAAGATTACTTTTATTTAAATATATTCTCGGTTCATTTATATACCTATTATTCAAACATAATATATTTATACCCATACGGTAAATACTTGATCTCAATGACATTGTAGCACTGAATCGAACATAATAACAAACTCACTCAAAAGATATATACCTACAATATGCAAAATATCTACATATGTCCACCGATAAAAAAACGAACACAAGTTGTCATTCGTTGCATCACTGTTCGTCGAATCCTAAATTTCAAGGAACCGGTTGAAATCATTGTACTAGGGTTACGAAAAATCTCCAATTTTTTTTTATATAATTATTTCGAAATCATTGTACTAGGGAACCCAATCGCGTCAATGTATTTTGTTCGAATTCGGACTATCCAACATAAAACATAAAGATTAAGTTGAGCTAAATTTTTTTCGATTTGGGTTAAGTTAAATTTTTTGAAAAACCGAAAATTCAAGTTGGTTAATGAGTCACGTCCACTCAACCAACTCAAAATTAGGGTTTCAACTAAATCCAATCTCAATTCTATTTTTAAGATTATTATGACTATTAAGAATATTTAACTTTTATAATAGATGATAGTAATGCATTATAACTTCAGTGGATTCAGTAGCCCAGGCTGTAACAAAAAATGGCTCGGGGGATGTTAACAAATTGGTCTACTACCGAAACGAGACTTCATAAGTTCAGGGACTTAAGAATGGAACAAAAGACGGGGGACTCAACCGTCTTCCGAAAAGGGATGCTAGTATATTGAAGAGACAATTATCTCACTTGCAAACATATCTGAGCGGGATTGCATATGTGACGGGGTTACCCGATAGTGTAATAATCGTTAATCAACAAGAAGAATATCGTGAATATTTCATATTGAGATGTATGAAATTTTAGTTATTAATATAACATGATTTTAAAAAATAGTGGAAAATCCAACCCAACCCAACTTAACTGACTGGAAATTGGTGTCTAAAAAATCTAATTAAAAAATTAATAATTGAATTTATTGGGTGAAAATGAATAGAAGAATGGATCAACAATGCCAATTTACTAGGAGGTGGCATCTCCTAAAAAGGCTCTTAATCATGAAACATAATGGGTGTTATGAGTATTTAAAGCTTTGATTAGCTTCTAATCCTTTGCCCACCACACTAATTACAACCTTAATCTCTCATTTATTTTCTTCTTTGATCTTTCTCTCCTCACAAGAGGGAAAGATCTTCATTTCTTGTCATCTTTTTCTTCCTCGGTTGTTCTTCCTATCATGGGTGCCTGTGCCACCAAGCCTAAGGCCAAGGTCGATACGGCCGTCATCCCCGCACCCGAGCCTGTCGACGACATGGTGAAGAACACCGAGGAAGTTAAGGTCGTGGAAGACGAGAAGAGGGTCGATGATGTAATTGATGAAAAGAAGAAGGACGACACCGAGAAAGTTGTCGTTGAGGAAGCCAAGCCTCCGTCTCTCGACTCCTTGCTCGTTGAGGTATAATCCTAATTCATATTCAAAGTCATTTCTATTTATTTTCTAATATGCATTGCCTTCTATAGAAGGAAGCTGAAGTTCCAAGCGTGACGAAGGCGGAGGAGCAGCCACCGAAGGAGGCGGCGGCAGTGGCAGGGGCGAAAGAAGTGAAGAAGAGTGAAGAGAAAGCAGCGAAGAGGGATGAGAAGAGCGCATGAAGAAATAAAAGGGAAGCGTTATTAGTAACAGCGACAACGGAGTTGTTTTATTGATCTTAGCTTCTCAGCTATTCATTATTCAATTTGCGTAATGTTTTATGTAGGGTGTGGGGGTCTGGTCGGTGTTTCCTTTATCAAAATATAGTAATTAAAAGTATATTGATGTCTATTGTCCACTTTTTCCTTTTGTGCGCTCTTCAAGCCTCCACTTTTCCTTTTGTGTGCCGCTCGTTGAGTCTTTGAGTGTCGATACTTGCTTGGGGCTGGCTCCAAGGCTCTACCCTAGCTTTTCATTGGTTCCTTTCATCTTGCTCATTTTTCTCATTCCCTCGTGCTTTTAAACTCATTTACATAACACAGGTACTGATTTGATAAAAAAAATGTTTATTTTTATTTGAATCTAGACTTTTTTTTTGAGTCAAACTGATTCTGATTCTTCCAATCTTTCATTATTTAAAAAACAAAACTTTGTGGGGTATCACAATGTGTTTTGAATAATGAATAGCTGAGTTACAATTTTGAGATGTCCGTCCTTGATCCCTCTTGTGTCAATATTGAACTCATAGATAAAGTGAATATATTGAACTCAGATCTTTATTACCTCTTCTATTAACAAGCATTAGGTCATATGTCCACTTGTGCTTTGGTTCAATCCCAATCCAATTGACATAATATCTTTAAAGTTTTGAAATATAAATTCAAGGAACATCCTCTAATATCCCTTGCAATTAGACCACATCCCCAACAAGATGATTCAATAGTGAAGAAATTCTTCACCAAATTTTGCCTTTATTCTAGTTTTGCAATGCTAGTTAAAAAGCATGCTAACATTCTAGAGAATGATCGTGAGTTTATAATCAAGGAATACTCTTCCATTGGTACGAGGCCTTTTGAGAAGTCCATAGCAAACCCATGAGAACTTATGCGTGAACAATATCTATCATATCATTGTAGAGAACCGGTGTTTATGTAGTCCTCTCGTTGGCGTCCAATATTTTAGGATTACAAGATTATGTGCTAGCTGCTAAGTTTTGTTCCCATCCCTATCAAAAGTTTTAGCTACCACACCTCGTAGCTACTCTTTTCTTTAATGCTCCAAACTAACACTCATGAGCTCCTCATTTCCTACCACAGATATTTGCAATGCAGTAACACTTCTAGCAGAGAATTCTTGGAGTACATGATCAACATTCATGATCAAGTTGATAAAATGCAACAAATATGATTCAGATATATGTATCAACAAGCTTCCTTCCATGCAAAACCATGCAAATTGGAATACAAGACTAAATTTCTAATCGACATAGAGAGATTCATGAATTCAATTTTCAAATTTGGCAACTCAACTATCCTCTCCAATCAATCCAGGAGTTCTAAGAATTGGAAAAGCAAACCTATAAGATCTTACTTCACTATTCATTTAGTTAAGAAATATACAGGTTGCAGAGCAGAAACAAAATTATCATTCTTGAGAGGGCCTGCAACTTAAAACTAATAGATTGCAGTCACACAAGGCATGTCCGCAAGTACTCAAAGATATACCTCCTAAAATTGCACCAAGACCAATCATTCAAGAACATTAATGTCGCAACTATCTCCTAAATTTGCAGCCACCTAAAGCTTATAAATTACTTAAAATCAGCAAGTTCGTTGCACAAATTCGACAGTGGCGATGGAACCAACTCTTCCTACTTTATTTTACCACCACTGGACTTCGATTTCTTAGTTATTGCTTGTTTGGTGGGCTTTTCTGATGTCTCCTGTTGGATTACAAATACAAAGTGAAACAGAGATAATATTGATCGTAAAAATAAAAATGATAACATAAAATAAAATAAAATAAAAGGTATAGATTGCTGAAGTCAAGAATCCCAACTTTAATTAATGGGTCATAGTTGCAGAAAAATGTGGTGCCACAATGCAAATGAAAATGTAAAGAGCAAATGTACATTAATAAAAGCAACGACCATTAATCATAAATACTCCACCACAACTAAAACTAAAAATCAAAGTCGGCAAAATGATTGATCAGTGTGTTGCCTATGATGTGTAATGTCTTATTTCTAGCAATCGCTTTTTTTCCCCCAAAAAACTCCAGAATCATGCGTCATAAACTGCTTCTACACAACGCACCAACTTTTTTAATGTAATAGAGCTACAGGGTGGGTTTTAATTAATCAGGACTGTCAAATCCAGCACCTTGAGCTCCATAATTATAGTTTCCATATGTATATATTTGAAGATGAACAATAAGGTTCAAGGAAATTGATGATGAGGATTTCAAGTACATCACTAAAAACCAAAGCAACCAGTTTCACCAGCGTTTTCAGCTTCATGTGCCGAAGCAAGCAGCCATGACTAATGGCCTTGACCCTGAGTACTTGGAAGAATGGTCTAATATTGGCGTCCCTAGGCTGCCAATGACCTTTGTCCTTGACGGATAAAAAGCTTGTGGAGAGTATTTATGCTGGATTCCTGGTTTAGGAGACTTAAGTACACATTTGGTTACCTGTCATTCGGTATAGAAAGGTAGAGACAATTAGGTCTCTATATCCCACCAGTTCTTTAAGAACTCGAATTATTTTTAATGCTTCTCGTTTAATGGATTTTGTAGGTAATTTGAGATAATAGAGAGAAATGGAGAGTCTGAAGTAAATTAGACAGAAAGAGGCAGAGAAGTACTTTTGGACAGATCATGGACGGTCGGACAAAAAATATAGTCAATACCAATGAACTGTGAAGCTTAAATCAATGTTGATGTTGAAGATCAACATAATTGAATCTCAGTTTAAAAAAAAATGGTAAATCAACAAATTCAAAATGAAGGAAAATTTGCAGGGGAGTTAGATGTAACAGTCATAATGCCATTAAAATACTGTTGGTCTTAAAATTCGAAATTTAATAGGTTTATTAGAATTATAGAATGGAAGTTAAAATGCATCAATCCTAATATCAGATATCAGTAGATAGCTAACAATATACCTTTCTTTTAGTGGATACTGAAGGATTCGTTACGGGCTTGAAAAATGACTCCATCCTGAAAAGGAGGAATAAACAGCATGATCGACCAAAGAGATGAAGAACTTTTATTTTTAAGAAATAAATGAAAGTATATAGCTAACACTTACCGGCCCTGTGATGACTTGTTCTTGGCTGCTTTAATTTTTTCTACTGCCTGGAGAAAGAACAAAAAATGATGTATGAGACGTAAACTTTCTTGAAGATTTAATTTAAATGACTTTCATTAAAAAAATAAATAAATAAATAAAACTGTATGATATAAAACTTGAGATTATCAGGATGATAAACCTTTGTTACTCTATCGCTATTGAACCCATTCTCATTCACCAAAAATGAGATTAAGCCCTGTAATAGATATGAGAATACAATTTTAATATCATAACAAGCATGTGCATGCGGGAGAACTAAAACTTTAGTATCAAAATATGTTCGTGTGTGTGCGCGTACATATATAAAATGAAGAAAGAAAACAGTCAGGAGATGACTTTTAAACCAGAAAATTTAAATTACTTCTTCATCTGGAGTAGTCCACTTAATGTCAAGTTGCTCTTCGTCAGTACACACTAGTGGTTCTTTAAAAAGCTGTCGGGCCTCTTGAAATGGCCAACCCTCTGGAATTTGGTACCTGTTTACAACATAATAATAATAATAATAATATGGGAAACAAGAAGCATTCGGTATTTTGTTGCTCTTCTGTAATTTGACACATTATATACAAATTTGAAAATTTAGCAACCTGTCAATTGAAAGTTGGAAGTTTAGTGACTTGTTATAAACTTTTAAAGCTAGGGACTTTTAATCACAATCATGAAAGTTTAGGACAAATTTTACAATTTAGTCAATTTATTATCAAAATCTACCAACTGATAGCAATATATCAGTATATCAATGTGGTCAGAATTATTTCTACAATAAATTATCAATTTAATCCTTGAATTTTTAAAATTTTTAAAATTTATAGATTTATTAGACATAAAATTGAACTTATATAAGGTTCTACTAAACTATAATTCAAACTTATAGTTAATAGATTAATTAATTAAAAAAATAATAGTCAGATTTGTCCAGAATCTATTAAAAACAAACTTGAAAGTTCAAGGATCTATTAAACACTTCTGAAAGTTCAAAAACCAAACAGACACCACTCAAAATCTAAGGACAAAACTTGTAATTAACTTTATTTCTATATAGCTGCCGACTTAAAGCTTTGGATCTGCCATGGGTTGTACCGTTATTCTTTCCTTCTCATCTAGATAGACTTTGTTTAATAAGAAATATTTTGAAGTTGCACAACTCAAGTTTACAGCTTTCCGGTCACTACGCTCTTATCAAAGCTATTTGAAAGATACTTTAACTGAGATAAATATAAGAGAAAGATAAGACTATCTACTTACTTTACAAGATAACAATGCCTTAAACAGGAATAGAATAATTTAGAAAACAGAATCATGAAAGGTAATAAATTCTCCAAATGATTGCACTACATATGCTTAACGATATCTGACAAGATTGAAGAATTCTACACTATAAGATTATCTAAAACAGTCACTGGCTACTAATAGGATTCAATGCAATACAGATACATAGAAGGCTTCTCATTCAACAAGATTCAAATTGGCTAGGACATCATCTCAAGATTCATAATAACCAGACCATATCCAACAAATTAAGTATACCCATGCATTCATCAAATCATGTGAACAAGTTTGAGCATATTCAAGATAAAATTGCACTTTATGATATATATTTCAATCCTAGAAAAAGGTCACCTTTCTTTATTGATGTTCTCTAGTATATTTTCTATAGACCCATGTTGACGGATAAGCTTTAAAGCAGTCTGTCCCCCTATACCTGTGGAGTAAATGCATAAGTAAGGGCTAAAATTGGAACAGCACAATAAAACTTGAGCATCAACATCAGTAGGAGGCAATAAAACATATATACTATATAGAATCCAAATACCTCGAATACTGTCACAATAATCACATCCAGAAAGAATGCACAAATCGACAAATTGATCCATGGTAAGGTTCAGCTCCTCCAAAATCTGAAATGAAACAAATTATTGGTAAATGATCACTGAAGCTGTACTTGATTGAGTGGAGAAAAACCAGATTTATACAAAGAGAATCAAATAAGCAAACTACTAATCTAAACCTATAAGGAAAAGAAAAATACAACTATAAACATATACACGGAAACAATCCCAAACATAAAGCCCTGACTCACAGCTTGATTTTCTACACTCCCCTCAAGTTGGATAGTACATGCTTGTCACGCCAAGCTTGGAAATTAAACCATCAAGATGAATTCGTTGTAAAGCGTTAGTTAATAAATCTGCAACTTGTTGGGAAGGTACATATCTCAGTGTAATAGTGTTTGTCTCAATTTCTCACTGACGAAGTGTCAATCTATCTCGACCTTCTTTATTCCGTCATGGTGTATTGTATTCATTGCAATAACTATGATTGATTGGTTATCACACGGTAATTCTGTGATGTCTTCTATCTTGACCTTTAGTTCAATGAGAAGGCCTTTTAACTAAATTCCTTCACAAATCCCATGAACTAGTGATCGAAACTCAACTTCAGTAGTACTTCAAGCTACAACTAATTGTTCCTTACTATGCCAAGTGACTGGAACAATCTCTGATCTCGACTTACGGTCAATAGGAGAACCAAGTACTTGACCTCCCTAATTTATCGGGTTGAATTTATTAAAATTTAGATTACCTAGTATCTAGAGACTTATTTAGATTATCTATTAATTTAGATTTAGTTAGTCTCTCTCTTATAAAAGTGACATGTAATTCATGTAATTCTCTTATGAGGGAGGTATAAGTATAGGAAATAAAAATATTAGACCATTTACACCAAGATATAGCTTGGTAAACAACATTGACGAAGAGTTTTGTATAAGTCTATGTCTTTTCCACAAATATTCTTTTATTTAATTTTTTCCACAGGTTCCAAAAAAAAGTCATGATTAAGTTTTCCATAGTAGGGCTTTTGGATTCTTGAAGGGGTGGTACGTTAAGGTCATGTCCAATAGATTATTTCTCTCCCTAGGAAATCTGAGATACCTTCTGATTATATTGAGAATCGTTGTCTACAAATTCTGAGCATATGTGCATTGCATAAATAAGTGGCTTTGTGACTCGTTTCCTTTCTTGCATAATGGACACCAATTTGGAAATAGGGTCATGTAGGGCTTTCTATTTTGAAGATTTTCACTTGTGCTAAACCGCTATTTTCCAAAGGAAGAACTTCACCTTTTTAGGGTGATGTCCTTTCCAAATTGAATAGTTTCATAACTCTAATACCATGAAGCTATCTATGAACAATAATATTTTTTATATTTCATAGAGTAGAGAAGAATCAGATTCATACAAAGAGACGCCCAATTAGATGAGCAAAAAAAATGCAATCAATCTAAACCGATAAGGAAAAGAGAAAATACAGCTATAAATATATACGAGCTATAATTTATAACTTGATTTCCTATAGATAAGTAAATAGCCAAATTAAGATGGAGACAAATCACCTTTGCAACTTCAAATTCCATAACTGGGATCTTCCTTGAGCTGGGATCCATTAAATGACGAAGAAATCTAGGAGATCCAAATGTTAGTGAATCCATGTCTTCTGATGCCACAGCATAAACCTGAAATATATACAAACTTTGAGAACAAGCCCCTCTTATTAATTAAAAATGAATGTAAGAATTAAAGCACCGAAGGACCCAGGTAAAAAAGGAAAAAAATCCAGGTACACACTCATTTAGTGTGCAAAACTTACAAAATCAAATCCACCTAAATTCATAGATCCTACCACAAAAAAAGCATGCATTTTACTAGGTCGGGAACCCAGCCTACCCTCAATGCCCCAACCCTAGCAGCCTCCAAGCCCCATTGCATCCCCTGATCTAAACATGAAATGAGGGCAATGGGGAAAGAGGGGGTCTCCTAGGTACTTGGTAAGACTAGAAGCAATGAAGGGAATCATGAATCGATTGTCATGGGTAAAAGGTCATATAGCCCTTGGGTGCAGATAATTGGAAAATGTCAAACAAGATTTTTAGCATGTAGCAGAAAAGGGGAAGAGTGGAAACGAGTGTCCTAGATACTTGGTAGGAATAGTGTATCTCCAGTAGTTTGAAGAGTTTCCTAGCTTGCCTTTTGTTTTAGAAGAAACTTTTGTTGATGTATGAAACTACAAACGAGGGAAGAGAGCATCAATGTAAAGGAGTTACAATAAAATTCTCCAATTGGACAAATGTGTTGGCATATAAGAATGAAAAATATCTGAACAATTACACCAAGACATAGAATGAAGAACAATATTGTCCAAAAAAAACCCTTTCAAATGACCGCTCCTTGATATTTTCAGTTTAACAAAATAACACCTAACCTCAAAAGTACAAAGCAAGATGATTATAAAGGCAACAATCACAAAAGGTCGTACAACTAACTGCTAATTAATTAACATTAGAAGTATTTCCCTTACTACCTATCCTCATGTAAGTCTTAGTATGGAGGTCAAACACAAGGTAATGGTGTTGCAAAAATTTCTTCAAGCTAAGACTTCTAAAATAATCTCCCAAATCTCCAGTATTCCAAGAATTGATTTCATTGTCGAACAAGGCAATCAATCTGCTATTAACACTTTTGGCCAACCCCCTCGGATAGCAACGGTAGGTTTCACAAAAATGTTGACAACTAGCTTCAATTATAGATGAAATGTTTCAAAGATGGAAGGAGATGTGGCGAATTAACCAATAAGCCATTCAGTATCATATCCAAATCTTCCTTGGTAGTTAAGACTTTCTTATTTAGAGTTTGAAACAGAGAATCAAGATTTAATGACGAAAGCTCTTCAGATAAAATCATCTAAAGCTTGGGAATGTCGTTGTTGTTCAATCTCTACACTGTTTAAGCTCACCATGAATTCATCATCAGAGTCGAGGGTAATGTGAACAATACTAGATAAGGCTCTTACTTATGAAGAATTAAGAATTTTGTCAAAAAAAAAAAAAGAAAAAGAAAAAAAAAAAGAAAAAACATCATCAGGTCCAATAGCATAGTACGTGGAGATTAATGTTTGGGAGTAAACCTTTGAACCATTATAATGAATCGTCACCTAATTCAATTGGTATCAAAATTGTTGATCAAGACTCTTCCAACGCATCTGAATTAATGTTAAAAGTTACAGGAAATTGGGAAGACAAAGGGGCCGAAGAACATTTTATTGTATACAAATTGGAATTAATTTCAGTGTACTTCTCTTTAATTTCTTTGATATTTAGAGACCAAATTCACGGGAGGAGATTGAATATGCGTCTTGGCATAATTCCTCTCCAATATGACATTATTCTTTGCATTGAAAGTCTCTAGTTGGGCAATAAAGTCAATTGACTGATTACATGCCATTGGTTGACTGATTACCTTTGGGAGGCCATCGTTTAAATCAACCTTCTCAGCATGCAAACTAGGTGTACTTTATGTTGATAAGACCAAATTCGTGGGAGGAACTTGGATATGTGTGTTAGCGTAATCACCCTCCATAATGACATTATTCTATTGAAACTTGGATAGGTGTTTCGAAAATCAAAAACTCCCTTCATTTCTCTTTTTCATCAAAATCTATTGGACACACTGACTGATAATCCTACACTTGCGAGCCAATATACTCTACATCAGACCATAGCTCCTTCAGTGGTCTCAACCTTTGAACTCTTCAGTGAAGAGAAAGAGAAAACAGATTGTGAAAGAAAAACTGCAGTTACGTTCCAAGTCTGACATTCAAAATTCATACTAAAGTATGGAATCTTATTTCTATCAAAAAGGATTTTCCAGGGTGTCCAAAATAGTCTACAAGGCAAAGGAAATATGTTGGTGATGGTGACTGAATATCATGGATTCATAATAATAAAATGTTATAATGAGAAGAACTAAATCTTCATCACCTAAATACAAAAGGGCGAGATCAAAAACTCAAGTAGCTTTTGCAGATGCTACAATTTATTTCATCAGAGAATATTGCATCCCTGGAGAGAGAACAATTTGTTTTATGACATTTAAATTTATTCTAAATTTAAAATTGGAATGAGAGAACAAACATGTATAGCTAGCTAAATCTTTACATTGCAGAATTCATTGTGCTTGGAAGCATTGAAATATGTAGAGTACACAAATAAAGTTACCAAATCTGTATTTCATTCAATCTGTCCCTACATTTTAGTAACAGGAAGGTCAATATTTGCCCCTTGATTCTTAGTTCATCGGTTCACATTCAAGAAACAAAAGACACATTATCATGCAGGAGAGGGATACTTGCCTTTCCTAACTTGCAAAGCGCAGCACATTGTGCCTCAGCTTCGGAGGGAGCCTGTAACATCCAAAAACAATTGCAATGTACTCAACCATGTTACAACTGAAGCAATGGATTACTTGAATGAACATCTGAAATATAGTGTATTGTCACCTCGATCACAGGCACTCCCATGAGTCTCAAAAGTCTTTTACAGTCATCATTGTGCTGCTTTGTAACCTGCAAGTTTAACCCCAAATTATACAATATGCATGTGATTGATTGTAATATTATACAACTTCCAAAATATTTGCATGCTGCTCCAATCCTTTAGTGATTATTTGTGAGAGTATGTAAATCGATTTACAATGTAATATGTACGTTCTTGAGGAAAAATGTTAAAGCAGTTAACTAACCTTGACCGTCCTTTTACTGAATTTCTCAATGTCCTCCTTGTTTCCAACCTAGAATAACAAAAGGGGCAGTTGCTGGAATTAGTTTTCTGTCTTCCGTGCTTTACAAGGAAGAAAAAACAAAAGTACAAGAATGAAAGTACCTCAATTGCATCTGCCAGGTCTGCAGTAGCATCTGCTCTCTTTGAATAACTGCATACATAATTTACATAAGGCACAACGATCATGACTGCCCCTTTGAACGGAATAAATGAGATACAATGAGATAGCATACTTACCGTTTTGCAAGTTCTTGCTTTTTCAAATCAGGAGGCTTTCCATCAAACACATAGCTGAGTACATTTGTTCCCATAAAAAGAAAACCGTGTCAGACAAAATTTTCATGACAAAACTTGGAATTGAAATGCCAGGACACAGAGAAATTACACTGGCTTAACTCCAGCTTCGAGAAGCCTTATTGTCCGGTTAAACATCCCTTGCAAATGGCTAGAGTTTGACATTAAAAAAACATGAAAAATGGAATATATCAAGCAAAAACAAGTAGATAATTCACAAATTTTAAAACTCAAGTAAAAATGTATAAATTTTTCTAAAGCCAACCTAGTGACTTCACCAGCTTCGTTGGTCAACATCTCAGTCCCACTTCTTCCCACGACAATCTGCATTAGTTCACGCAAATATATGAGATGCCCAGAGTAGTTTTTAACTGGAAAAAAAGGAAAAATTGGAGAAAGAGGTACTGACAAGAAATTGATAGATACTCATGCTGGCATCAATTGCAATTTTTCGTCCAAAATAGCTTTCGAACTTCTGCTCCTTCATGCCTTTGGGGGCATTGTCAGCTAAAAGCTTGGTTAAACCCTAAGAAAACCAGGGATGTGAAAATGGAAAAGGGGAAAACCAGAGTGGCAGAGCAAGGGAGCGGAAAATGATGTAGAGAGTGAAGGCTGATACCTTAATGCCCATGGCAAGGCGTCGCAGTAGCAGAGAAGGAACCGCTTTGGAAGACGAAGCAAGGAAGGCGGGAAGGAGTCGAGTTGTTGAAGGGTTTTATATAGTGTGAATGTAAATCTAATCCTTTTAACACGCTGGACACGTGCGCGCCTTTTCCTTTTTTCTTGGAGGACTCTCTATGAAATTAAGGTGATTTTATTTTCTCTAATTTTTAAGATATGATATTATGAAAATATCAAATATAGTATCAAAATTTTGTATTTTAAATTTGATTTGTTATTAAATCTAGTTTTAAAATAATATTTTTCCATATATTTATCTTTCAATTTTATCTTAACTGTTTACATACGTTTTTATTATTGGTGGAGGAGTTCTATACTCGGAATTTGCATGTGGCTAGACCACAAAATATTTAAGTTTTGTTTATGAATAAGTTAATTGAAAAAATTAATATTTCACAAGAGGATCGCAAGCAACTTGATCTTAATCATCAATGAGTTATGAACTCAGGTTGGAGGTTTTTTTTTTTTTTTTTTTTCTTTTATTTGCATGAGCCCAACAACTTGGGGATCGACACTTGTTCAGCCCAACCACTTGCGTTCTTTTATTCATGCCAACATATTGGGGATCAACACTTCTTCACGTATAAGGCCTCAAAAGGTGTCATATCCAACGTCGCTTGATAACTGTTATTATAAGCGAACTCTATGAGATGCAAGTGCGTGGTCCAGCTACCGGCAAAGTACAACATATAGGCCCGTAACATGTTGTAACGACCCTAAATTTCTACATACTCAGAGTCACTACTAACGTCTCATGCTCATCTCTAATGCGGAAATATAATTGTTACATGAACATCATTTATAACTTAAACCTCGAAAAATGCTTAAAACAACTTCTTCTCTGGAAAACACATCATGGTCTTAGGTGTTTAAATACGAAATACTTCAATTTAGAGAAAATAAAAACAAATACATAATAATTTAAAACAATGAAATGCAAAACAACCTATTATAACTTAGGACTAGGAATTTAAATGAGTCTACCCTATGCACGTGCCACAGTCTCTGCTTGCAATGCTACCGCCCTCCGTACTTAAAAAATGATGTGGCACACAGCTTGAGTATTTCGAAATACTAAGTGACCCCACTATAGGGGGCCATGCAAATGCAAACACATGCAATCATGATTTAGGGACCTATCTCTAATCATCATAAGGGTGGCCTCCAGTCTCGGACAAATTGGATGTGTAGTACTTCCCTACACACTACTCACACGTGCGAGTGTGAATCCCCAGAGCGCTCGCACAGCCCCTGGACCCTTTGGTCAAGCTAATCTGTAGCAACGTCTAGAGGTCAACGGAACCCCATAGTGTCATGCGCCTCATGAACACCATCATCTATGCGCATTCGCACTCATCATCATACGGTGCGTGAGGTCAGCGGAACCCCATAGTAGCCCTATGTATGAGCCTTATAAACATACAATATGCATGAGGTTCTTCTAAATCTAATTATACGTCTCTTCTGACACAACCCTCTAATCTCATCTCTTTGTTACACTATGTAACACGTGCTCATGGATATTTATATTAGTATCGTTTTCATACTCTTAAGGTTGTGTCCCATGTCGATCTACGACATGATGCAATATGCATACAACATCATAAGGCATGTTCAACATGGAAAATATCATCATGTTAATAACACGGTCATGCATACATCATACTCATCATAGAAGCCATTAAGTGCATCACATATAACATGTACGTCATGCATCGAAACATAAATAACGTACATTTAATTAACATACATCACAGCACAACGTCATACTCATACATCATCATAATTCAAACATTTTTTGTTCTATCCTATAGTAAGGTCACTTACTTGGTTGGCCTTGGTCGAAGTACTCCCTAATTAGCTAACGTAAGTTCCCGTTCCTTGAGAGTTGCTTTCTACGTTACGAGGTTTGTTTCCTATCACCCCGTTCGCCACCTTCTGTTAGTATTTTCACAATTAAATTACTAATAACTCAGTAAACGTGAAATACGACTCTAAAACGGCCTCTAATACCTTAATCGGGGTCGAAAATGGATTCGAAAGGGTCAAAACAGTGGAAACTAGGTCAAAAATACGTGAGTCGAGCCGAAACAGCCGCCGGAGCGTCACCAGAGGGAGCCTGAACTGTTTGCGACGAGTCGAGCCGAGGGACCACCTGCATTACTGTCTGTCATGTGGCAGCAGCAGAACGTGTCACGTCATGCGGTGGCGTCGGGTCGAGGCGCAAGTCATAGTCCGGTTCGGGTCGTCAACTGCAGAAGGCTACTGGGCCAGACTGATCGTTGGGCCTCAGCTTACTAGACTGGGCTGCAGGTGTTTGGGTTGCAGGCCGGTTCGGTTGGACCGTGGGTCTGGTCTCATGTTGGTTTAGCTGAACCATCGGCTATTGGGTTGGATTGAGGTTTGGGCCGTATCGAAATTTGGACCGTGATTTCACGGGCTAGACTTATATTGGTTTGGGCCTTGGGTCTAGGTACTCGGTTTAGGTTGACTAGATTCGATGGATCCTTCTTCCTTACCCGACTTCTGCATAATTTTCCGACGCATTTTCTCTCTCCTTCCCGCGACATTTCTATGGCCGATTTCAGTCCTCTTTATTCCTTTTCCTCTCTATTTGTTGTCCCTCTTTCCTTCCTCGAAGTTTTGTGGCCTAAAAATTCCTAAAAACTACAGATCTAAGAACGTTTAGGAAAACCTAAATTTTCGACCTAGGTTACCGACAACGACGCATACGAAAGGGCACAAAACATACCTTGAGTATTGTGCTATTGTTAGGGATCCTTCTCGTGATGGTAAATGAGCATTTGACATTGGTTTTTGGGTGGTTTGGGACTCGTCGAAAAAAGTTTGAAACTAGCCGGCGTTACTCGAAATCTCTCTCTCTCTCTCTCGTTTTTTTTTTTTTCCTTTTCTTCACTTGCAGGTAATCTGAGGTGTTCTGGGACTGGTGGGCTGAAGGCCAAGCGGGGTGCGGTTGTCATTTCGCATGGGATTCGCGAAACTCGGCGGTCGTCAGAAAACTCGCGGCTTTTCCGACAACTGAGTTTTTTTTTTCTTTTTCCTTTTCCTTTTCTTTTACTTTCTTCCGGGTCATTACATTATATACCCCTAAAAAAAACTTTCGTCCTCGAAAGTCTTAAACTCTTGTACTAACTCGAGGTATTTTCTCTTATTTCGTCCTCAAGCTCTTATGTGGCTTCCTCGCTGTGGTGATTTTGCCACAACACCTTAATGACTGCAATGTTCCTGTTGCGTAAGGCTTTTACTTCTCTGGCTAAGATTTTTATTGATTTTTCCTCGTAGCTCAGATCTTCATTGAGTTGGAATGGTTCGTAGTCTATTATATGGATAAGGTCCGTAATGTACTTTCTCAGCATCGACACGTGAAACACATCGTGCACTCCTGAGAGGGCGGGAGGTAGGGCTAACTTATACGCTACTGGACCCATTCTGATATGATAAGGAATCAACTACAAGGGAAATAAGATTCGGATTACCTTGTTGATCGAATATCTCAAGGCAAGAATATTGTTTGAGATTCGAATCACTCCACAAGCAAGATCGATCATGTCTAGCTTGAATGATTCTTGTTGATCAAATATCTCAATGCAAGAACACTTGTTTGAGATTCAAATCACTCCACAAGCAAGATGGATCACGTCGAGCTTGAATGATTCTACATGCAACCTAAACTATATAGAATTGCAAAGAAACTTAGCCATTAGCTAAAGAAAAGCACAAATGCTTCTTTTACTATATTTTCCAAGTCTTCTTGCCAATACAACATACATGGCTTTATATAGCCTCGAAATGAAACTATTAAAGACATTCCAAGAGTGGTAACATTCATACTTTATGCCCATAATTAGCCATTATGTAAATGTAACCTAAAAAAGTCTTAAAATACAATAACTCTAAATTACTCCAAATTGTAGCCCACCCAAAATTTACAACAATCAAACTTCATTCTTCTTCAATGTAGCATGAATTGAAACATTTTTTTGATAATTTTGACAACCTTTTCTTCACATCTTCATTGAAGTATATTGTATGATTGATGTCTCTTGGTTCATATCACATTCGCTCTAGAAACTCGAATGGCCCAATGAATTTAGGACTTAACTTGCCCTTACGTCCAACCACAAGACACCTTTCATAGGTGCCACCTTGAGGAATACTAGGTTCCCTATCTTGAACTCTAAGCTTCTATGCATTACATTGGCATAGCTTTTTTGTCTAGTTTGAGCGGTATGCATCCTCGCTCGAATTTTCTAGACAACTTCATTGGTGAGTTGAACCAGCTCGGGTCCTACTAACTCTCTTTCGTTGACTTCGTCCCAACATAGTGGGGACCTACACCGTTTCCCATACAGGGCCTCAAACGGTGCCATACCAATAGTGGCTTGGAAGCTATTATTATACGAGAATTCCGTAAGGTGGAGTTTGGAATCCCTACTTCCCTTAAAATCTAGTACGCAAGCGCGTAACATGTCCTCTAGAATTTGGTTTAAACGCTCCGTTTGTCCATCTGTTTGGGGGTGGAATGCAGTACTAAAGTTGAGGCAGGCACCCAACGCTTTTTGAAGTCCGCGCCAAAACGCTGACGTAAAGTGTGGATTCCAATCCAACACTATAGACACTAGGACTCCATGTAGTCTTACTATTTCTTTCACATACAGTTGTGCCCAATTGTCAACTGTATATGTAGTTTTCCCACGTAGGAAGTGTGTCGACTTGGTCAACCTATCGACAACTACCCAGATCACTGTATAGCTTTGGGCGTTTTGGGTAATCCTACTATGAAGTCCATTGCTATGTTTTCCCACTTCCACTCCGATATGTTTAGGGGCTGCAACAACCCCGCCACCTTTTGTATAGGAGCTTTCACTTGTTGACAAACTAAGCACTTGCTCACAAACTCGGCCACGTCCCTTTTCATGCTATTCCACCAAAAGTGTTGTTTTAAATCTTGGTACATCTTAGTACCTCCTGGGTGCATGGAAAATGGCGAGTTGTGA